GACGAGGGGCGGACGAAGCGAGAGGAAGGACGGGTGAAAAGGAGCGTGCGTGGAGAAGAGAGAAGAAGCAGACGAGAGCGAGCGGAGAGCGAGGAAACGCGCGCGAGAGCGAGCGAGCGGTAGAAGACGACAGGCGGCGCGAGGGCTCGTGTGCGTGCGCGTAGACGCGCGTTGATGCGTCGCTGGCGTCGTCGAGCCCCGCCAGGAGCAGCGGCGCTGCGTAGACGCCGCCGTCGTTGAGGAGGAAACACGGGTGCGCCGCCGGGACGTTCCCCGTCGTCGCCGTCTTCGCTGTCGTCGCCTTCGCCGCCGTCGCCGCCGTCGTCGCCGTCGCCGTCGTCGTGGTGACCGTCGTCGTGCCGGTGAATTAGTGCTGGTGGTGGTGTCGGATTGCCGGGAGTGCAGTGATACGCCGTCGTCGTCGCCGTCGCCGACGTGACCGTCGTCGTCGCCGTCGTCGGTGGTGGTAGTAGTAGTAGTAGTAGTGGTGGTGGTGCCGGTGCCGTCGCCGGTGGTGTCGGTAGTAGTAATAGTAGCAGCGGCAGCGGCAAGTGGGAGGAGGGAGCGAGAGTGAGAGAGGCCACCGCCAGGACGAGAGATAACGAGCGAGGGAGACGGCGAAAGAGGGAGAGAGAAGGAAGACGGGGACCACGAGGACGGCGACGAGGCGTCGTTGTCGTCGTCGCTCGTTCGCCGCCGTCGTCGTCGTCGTCGCCGTCGCCGCCACCGCCGCCGCCACGGTGGCGAGATTAACACCCGTCCCGTCCACCGGGACGATCGGCGATTAGTGTCTTTAACACGCTTCATCGGGAGCATCGCATCATCACCGTGTGTGCGAAAGAGAGAAAGAGAGAGAGCGAGAGAGACAGAGAGGAAGCAGCAGCCGCAACGAAGGTCGCCGCCGGTCGGCGAGCAGCGCTCGCTGTCACTGCGAATCGCTCGTACACCCTCCTCTCTCCCTTCCTCCTCCTTCGTCCACGACCTGCCCCTTCGATATACCTCCGTCTGCCACACCACCTCCACCTCTTCCTCCTTCGTCGCCGTCACCTCCTCCGTCAAAGGAGGATTCCGCCGTCCTGAGCCATGGCGTGCTGCCTGTCGGAAGAGGCGAAGGAACAGAAACGCATCAACCAGGAGATCGAGAGGCAACTGCGGAGGGACAAGCGGGATGCCAGGCGGGAACTCAAACTGCTGCTACTCGGTGAGTCTTGTTCGTTTTTTTTTTTTTTTTTTTTTTAATATGTTACGCGTTTCTTCTCGGCGGGGGAAGAAGAGGCGAAAGAGGAAGAAACGTGCCTGTGTCGAGTGTCAAGCGAGTGCCGAGCGGTATGAAAAGTACACGCGCTTATCCGTCGTCCCATCGGCTCTCATTCAGAAAAATGGAAATGCAAAAACCGCGAATCGGTAATATCGACGCATCGATAACGAGCTTTACGCCGGAAATCGTAACCCCACCGGCTGAGAGAGATGCACCGAGATAGCGGGTTACTCGCTTAACTTTCGTATCGTTTGTCGGGGTAAGGTAAGGGTGAGCGATTTGCCACTTGACTTGCCTCCCCGGCGAGCGCGCGCGGTGTAAAACCCGGCATTAGTCGGGAATATAACGAAGCCGGTAAAAGCGGACCGGTCGAGTGGCAAGTTGCGGCTCACCTCTCATCGGAGAAAATAATGAAAGATAATAACGCGAGGCTTTTTTTTTTAAAAAAAAAAAAAGGAAGGAAAACTGTGCATCGCAGGCGTTGAGTGTTGATGAATTTGCATGAATCCGCTAAGATTTTCAGTGGCGAAGCGAGTAACTTTCTCGCGTTATTAAAATTCAATAGAAAAGGTATAGATTTTTCTTCCTTTTTTTTCTCTTATACAGATATTTGTTCGGCTATGGCACGTAGATCCACTCTTCGGAAGACGTAATTACCGTGTCAAGTGTCGTATTACGGTGTCATAAATCTTAGTTAAAATGCCGGGTTCGCACAAAAGTCGATAGGAGAGGAAAGTCAGATAGTAACAAATGGTCATAGAACCGGTGGGTGGGTAGCGTGCTATTTGATTTGTCTGGCTTCGTGTAGACCCGGCATTAGTCTTATCATTGAATTGAAAACCTATGCAAATGAAGAGTTTTATAAAGCTCTACAAAATCACACACCGGTTATATATTCCATCTTTTTCTCCACTGGCATATTTAGCGAAGCGCGGTTTATCGCGTGAAGAATTTTCCATCCACCGATACCTTGAGCAATTAATTTTTTCACAGTGAATTGATCAAACGCACATTTGTTATCCATTATTGTGCAAAGAAACACAACAATGCAAAACGGTGACTCGAAGTTCCATCTTCGAGAATCTGTTTTCGATCATTTTTACGCTTTTCCCGCTCCTATTATGTCTGATTAAAAAATGATAGTCCCGCTGTTGTCCAGCGACACCCCGTAGTAGTTAATTAGCGTAATTGCAGCAGCGAGTAATTTTAACGCCGCAAGCATTTCCAATGACAATAGCAGCGGCAGTTATAGAATTATCGAGAAATGATGAAAATTCGTTTAGCAGACGTCGTAAGATCGTTGAAGCACGACGATTGTCAATTCTATCACTCGAAAGAATGGCGATTATTTAATTCTGTCATTGGCCGTCGCATTTGCTCCCGGTGTCGCGATATATTACCCTGATTGACCTTATATACTCTCCTTTAGAAGAGTCTCGCTCGCTCGTTTCATTCATGCGCGCCTCTCGCGAGTGGCCGCGGCCGCGTGCCGCCGACGCCGACGCCGGCGCCGCCCGGGAGACGACGACGTCCGCGCGTCACGTACATTTCTCGTCTTGTACACGAGGTCGATCGGCGCGGCCGGCGTGCGCTTGACAGCTCTCTCTCTCTCTCTCTCTCTCTCTCTCTTTCTCTCGACCGGCCGCTGCTCCACAATAT